TCTTCTGAACATTCTGCACTTTCGTTACAATTTCTGTAAAAAACTTCAGAAGTTCTTGATCTTCAAATATTTGTCAAGGATTTTTTAGAGATTCTGCAGATATTCTTCAAATAATTTGCAGCTTCTTCGACAATCTCTGTAAAATAAAAGTTTATGGGTTTCAAAAATTCCTCACAGGTTTTATAGAGACTTTTCGGAGGTTCTTTATAGATTCTTTAAATATTATTCAGTGGTTCCCCAGATTTTTCAGATATTCTACAGATTCTTCCAAGGTTCCTCAAAGATATTTAAGAAAATCTCTTCTTTAAATACTTCCAGGAAATTAAAGAGGTATTTTAGAGAATTTTTGGAAATTTTTGAGATTCCTCGGTGATTCGATAGGGATTCTGCAGATGCTCTTCGAAGTTTTTGAAAATTCTTCAATTTTTCAGTTTATCTTCAGGGATTCTTCTGAATATTCTGCAGTTTCGTCACAATTTCTGTAAAAGACTTCAGACGTTCTTGATCTCCAAATATTCCTCAAGGATTTTTTAGAGATTTTTCAGAGATTCGTGAGAGATTCTGCAGATAATCTTCAAAAAATTTGCAGATTCTGCACAATTTCTGTAAAATAAAAGCTTTGGGTTTCAAAAATTCCTCACGAATTTTATAGAGACTTTTCGGATGTTCCTTATAGATCCTTCAGAGATTCTTTAAAAATTATTCAGTGGTTCCTCAGATTTTTCAGATATTCTACAGATTCTTCCAAGGTTCCTCAAAGATATTTAAGAAACTCTCTTCTTTAAATACTTCCAAGAAAATAAAGAGGTTCTTTAGATAGTTTTCGGAGATTTTTGAGATTCCACGGTGATTCGATAGATTCTGCAGATACAGATTTCTTTCCTTCTTGTAGTTTTACAAATCCCAATCAATTCTTCTTGATACTTCCTTCTCTTCATATCGTCTCTTGGTCCTCCAAACCCGAAGAAGCGGAAGAACTTGAAGACCTTAAGTAATTTTATCAATGTAATGCAAAAAGGTCACTATCTATGAAGGATTAAATATAATCAGGAATGAAAGGTGGACAATGACAATGAAGACAGTGTAGTATCGTAATAGCTCCTTGATCGTGGATTTTGAATAGTCGTTTCTGCACAGTGGCTAGACATGATGAAAATTATAAATTCGTCTCGAGTGTGGATAGATCTAAGTCCCTTGTAACTTACAACATCTGTTCTCAAAGCGAATGTCTGACCTTTGTCCCTGTAATGTTAAGCTTCTTGCCGAAGTGCTTAAAATCGCGCATAAAATAGTGAAATCCGATCTGGTTTTGTTTCAGCTCGATACCGACGATCGGTACACATTGGCATCGACGGGGAGGAGGTCAAGGCTTACCCTTTGCTCCCCGTTCAATTGTTTTCAAAACGCCGCAACGCGTAAAAATGAAATTAACATCGCGTCGTCGTCGGTTGCGACTACCTGCTGGAGCTTCCACGTTAAAATTAATGATCCGCGGAGATGAATGAAAACGGTAACAAAACCCCCGAATGAAAAAAAAAGGAGAACGTAATTTACCCGTCTTTTTGAATATACCGACACCTCAATTCAATTTTTTCTCCCCCTTAACGCAATTTACCTTAAAAAAACACCGGAAACCGCGCCAGAAATATTAATTATTACTCGTCCACTTTTTTTTTCGAAAATGGGTGACTTGCACATTATGCAAGTAGCGCGTCGTCTTATTTTCTAGTAATTAATATAAGTGAATACGGGTGGCTCTTCTCCACGCTAATTAACCCGTAATTAATTTAGTTTCGCCTGTCTCAAATTTTGTATAATAATGATTTTTGTTTGCTCTCTACCATTACTAACTGTGTACAATTATATTAATAGTATCTGGGGGGGCCTTATTTCGTTCTACCGTAATTACCGGCTGACGTGTACGTAACGCAGTACTTTACTAATAAAGTTTTCTGATTTGACTAATCGACTTGGGGATGCAGTTTCGGTTACAGCCTCAGCTCACGACCGCGGTCTCGGATCATAATTATGCAAGATAGATATTACCACTAGAATGCTTTCTAGGAGATTCTACCCCAATTCAAGGCCCAGTTAAAATGTTGGGTGGAGAAGGCTGTAAAATGAATAATATATTAAGTATAAATTGAGCACAACTCTTGTGCATATAAAGCGCATTTTTTACCGAAATAGGTTTTGTCTTGACATCACCAATGGATATATCTCTTGCAGGCGTCTCAATCGCCCTCTGTGAGTACCCTATTCCGACAATCCGTTCTTGGGGTCGAGGAGGAGGGCTATGGTTGGTAGAAACTAATTCATTTCGTTGTTAATTTTTACCCCCCCCCCCTTTCCCTCAGGCCCCGTCGCTCACTGATCTCGAAAAAGAATCGCACAGAAAAGTTATAATTTGAACTCTCAATCAAAAGTTACAGACTAGAAACCAATTTCGAAAAAAAATTCAAAGGGCTGTAACTTTTGAAATAGTAGCCCAATCTTGGAATTGTTTGAAATTATGGATTCTACAGGCCACATTCTATAAGAAATTTTTTTTTCCTGATCGATCTGAGACAATTTTTTTTCGGGGCTCAAAAAAAGGCAGTGTATAACCTTCCTTTTTTACCAAAAATCGACTGCACCAAAATTTCTCGGGAAAACACTTTTCTTATTAATTTTGGTGCGTAGAATCCAAAACAATTCGTACTTTTTCGATCAGACTTCTCAATCAAAGGTTATAGACTAGAAACCAATTTCGAAAGAAAATTCAAGGGCTGTAACTTTTGAACTAGTAGCCCAATCTTGGAACTGTTTGAAATTATGGATTCTACAGGCCACATTCTATAAGAAATTTTTTTTTCCTGATCGATCTGAGACAATTTTTTTTCGGGGCCCAAAAAAAGGCAGTGTATAACCTTCCTTTTTTACCAAAAATCATCTGCACCACCATTTCTCGAAAAAACACTTTTTCTTATCAATTTTGGTGCGCAGAATCTAAAACAAATAGTAATTTTTCGATTAGACCTCTCAATCAAAAGTTATAGACTAGAAACCAATTTCGAAAAAAAATTCAAAGGGCTGTAACTTTTGAAATAGTAGCCCAATCTTAGAATTATTTGAAATTATGAATTCTACAGGCCACATTCTATAAGAAAATTTTTTTTCCGGATCGATCTGAGACAATTTTTTTTCGGGGCTCAAAAAAAGGCAGTGTATAACCTTCCTTTTTTACCAAAAATTGACTGCACCAAAATTTCTCGGGAAAACACTTTTTCTTATCAATTTTGGTGCGTAGAATCCAAAACAAATCGTACTTTTTCGATTAGACCTCTCAATAAAAAAAACCAATTTCGAAAAAAAATTCAAAGGGCTGTAACTTTTGAAATAGTAGCCCAATCTTGGAACTGTTTGAAATTATGGATTCTACAGGCCACATTCTATAAGAACATTTTTTTACGGATCGATCTGAGAATTTTTTTTTCGGGGCTCAAAAAAGGCCTTCCTTTTATACCAAAAATCGACTGCACCAAAATTTCTCTGGAAAACACTTTTTCTTATTAATTTTAGTGCGTAGAATCCAAAACAATTCGTACTTTTTCGATTAGACCTCTCAATCAAAAGTTGTAGACTGAAACAAATTTCGAAAAAAAATTCAAAGGGCTGTATCTTTTGAACTAGTAGCCCAATCTTGGAACTGTTCGAAATTATGGATTCTACAGGTTACATTTAGGGAATGCAATACCGGGGCGAAAGGAACCGTTTTCTATCAACTACTCCCCTTCATTTTGCCATCTTATCAAAGTACGGGGGGGGGGGGAGTGGAACTAGATTTGTCCTTCATGGTACGCTAATGAAAGGTCTCGACGAAAGGAGTTAATTTCTACTAACCATAGCCCTTCTCCTCGACCTCTTATCGTGATCGGGTATATTCCCTTATACCTCAAGAACGGATTGTCGGAAGAGGGTACCCACAATGGGCGATTGAGACGTCTGCAAGAAATATATCCATTGGTGATGTCAAAACAAAACCTATTTCGGTTAAGAAAATGCGCTTTATCTGCCCAAGGGTTGTGCGCAATTTATACTTGTTGTTTTTTGAGGGGGGAATGTGGTACCGGGGGTTATGGAATATCCCCAGTAAACGTAAACTAGCTGTTTCTCTTTCTGCAATCATTATTATCAGGAAATGATTCGCATATTTCTACCAACGAAAACCTTTGTGCCCTGGGGGTAGTCCAGACCCCCCGGTGTTACGCTTTTTTTTTAAACTCTAAGCCCTGAGGAAAACTTATACTTTCAATAGGGACCCTAGTTGAATATGTCTGGTTGGCAGACTTCATCCTCATCAAGAAAGAGGTGTGATAGTGAGTAAGTCCAATCGACCTTCTTGGATAGGCAATCGCTCAATCGCCTCCTTTTCCTTAATGCCGAAAACTATCAGGCTCCCTCTGGAGGTTGATCCTTCACGGCTGTATGGAAGAGACACCATCTGCTACTATTGACCAGGAACTCTTCTTCAAGCGCCGTTTAACCGTCACCAGGTCGTCGGGTTGCCACCAGCCTTGAGGAGCCCAGGAAAGCAATCTTCCTGCACTATCTTTAGGTGTGTATCCTCTCACAATTGTTGGAGGTTGACAACCACCTCTATTAAGGACCTTGGAAGGTACTTAAAGGTCGTTTAGCGACCACCAAAGGGTAAATATTTGAGGAAATGTACGATCGTATAATTGCATTCACAATTCGTATATATCGTAAAAGTTGTCGGTGGCGACCTCTATTGATATTCACTCATTTTAAATTCGAAACGCAGGTTTCCGCTCGTCTGACTGGATCAGATCTCACAGACGATGCCAAGCAGCAGTTTCGAGAGATGGCGCAACGGTTTCAAAAGCTACATCTCGACGCCCGCCAAAAATAATCAATATAATCAGGAGCACTCGTCCACGTGGGCAACCCCAGAAGTGCATCTCGGCACCTTTCTCGCGCGGGGGTTGAATTAAGGGCCAGTGACCCGCGCTTACATAATGCGAGCGAGTGCGTGACTATAGTATGACCCCTCTCTCTTTCAAGTACAATCGACGATCGAGGAAAACATATTTTCGTCATGCGCTTCCCGCACGAATATTAAATAAATTCAAACCTTCCATCGAGGAGTACACACACACGCGTTTAAATTTTTTTTCCGCGCATCGATCTCAAAGGGGTGAGTGTTTTTTTATCTTTCTTACGAGCGCTTTCAGTAAAAAATTGTTTCTTGGACGAACTTCAGTTTTTCATTTCGTTTGTGTCGGGGGGATGATCGCTTCATTCATGAGAGCAGAATCTAACCCCTTCTATTTGTAAAGAAATGATAATGAATAATGCTTAAATTAAGGCAAGTGCTTCTGCAACCCTTTTCGAAATATTGCCACCCTCGCGTTTAGTATAGAAGAAAACTCGATCCCCGCTTATACTCCTTTAGCCTTCCATTTGGTAAGGGTCCTTTTATAGTTGATCTCACAATTTTTGTTTGTTCTTTTCTAATTTTCTGGTTTTAGCCCTCCGGTCCACCAATTGGTTGCTTGTTTTTTGTTCACCTTATTATCGTTTAGTTCCTTCGTAGTTTCAGTTCTTCTTCCGGTTGTTCTTGATCTTTCTTTCCCATTTTGTTCTTTTTTTTAGTTTCTGCCTTTTAAGTTGGACTCTGAAATGCTTACTAAATTCCTTTTCCAGTCCCGTGTCATTTACTTGCATTTTTCTTCTTCATTTTATTTCTTTAATGATTTCTTTTGTAGCTATTTTTTGGTTTTCTTTATATACATTCTCCTTTTCACTCCATCTTTTTGTTAATGTTGTGTTTTGTTGCTTAGTTCTTGTTTATTAGTTTTATTAGCTTCTGTCTCTTGCCTTTTGTTCCATTTTAGTCTATTTCTGGTTCGGACTTTAGTTCCATTTCTTCCTTATTGTGGTTTTTAGGTTCCTTTTAGTTCTTACTTAGATTTCCTTTTTGTCCTATTTAAAGTTCGACTATTGGTTGCTGGTTACCTATTTACTACTTTTTTACTCGCTTTATCTATTTCTTATGTTTTACTAGATCTTTTTTCCTCCTTTATTTAATTTAATTGTGTATTAATCACTTTATTAAATTAGTTTGTGCTATGGGGTATTCCATACCCCCCAGACCCCCCGGTAACACTATCGTCTACATACAGTTTAGCCTCTTCAGGATACTCGCGGTAGTTCCGGGATACAAATATGAGATTCTCTCACCCTCAGAAGTGTTGTAGAGGAGTGGCACCGGGGGGTCTGGCGGGGATATGGAATACCCCCCAGCAAAGGACCGTCCAATGGGTGACCAATTCTTAAAAATGATGTTAAAAGCTGTTCATAGTGTAAACAGAGTCGTCCCCTTGGTCGACAAATTCCTCAGTCCCGCAAATCCCGCGGGATCCCGCTCCATTTATGTGCGGGATTAATCTCGCAAAAATGCTGCGGTATCCCGGTATTTCGGGATCCCGCAATCCCGGTATTGCATTCCCTAGTTTCTAGTCTATAACTTTTTATTGAGAAGTCTGATCGAAAAAGTACGAATTGTTTTGGATTCTACGCACCAAAATTAATAAGAAAAAGTGTTTTCCCGAAAAATTTTGGTGCAGTCGATTTTTGGTAAAAAAGGAAGGTTATACACTGCCTTTTTTTGAGGCCCTCAAAAAAATTGTCTCAGATCGACCCGGAAAAAAATTTTTCTTATAGAATGTGGCCTGTAGAATCCATAATTTCAAACAGTTCCAAAATTGGGCTACTAGTTCAAAAGTTACAGCCCTTTGAATTTTTTTTCGAAATTGATTTCTAGTCTATAACTTGATTGAGAAGTCTGATCGAAAAAGTACGAATTGTTTTGGATTCTACGCACCAAAATTAATAAGAAAAAGTGTTTTCCCGAGAAATTTTGGTGTAGTCGATTTTTGGTAAAAAAGGAAGGTTATACACTGCCTTTTTTTGAGCCCCGAAAAAAAAATTGTCTCAGATCGACCCGGAAAAAAAATTTTCTTATAGAATGTGGCCTGTAGAATCCATAATTTCAAACAGTTCCAAGATTGGGCTACTAGTTCAAAAGTTACAGCCCTTTGAATTTTTTTTCGAAATAGGTTTCTAGTCTATAACTTTTGATTGAGAAGTCTGATCGAAAAAGTACGAATTGATTTGGATTCTACGCACCCAAATTAATAAGAAAAATTGTTTTCCCGAGAAATTTTGGTGTAGTCGATTTTTGGTAAAAAAGGAAGGTTATACACTGCCTTTTTTTGAGACCCGAAAAAAAATTGTCTCAGAACGACCCGGAAAAAAATTTTCTTATAGAATGTGGCCTGTAGAATCCATAATTTCAAACAGTTCCAAGATTGGGCTACTAGTTCAAAACTTACAGCCCTTTGAATTTTTTTCGAAATTGGTTTCTAGTCTATAACTTTTGATTGAGAAGTCTGATCGAAAAAGTACGAATTGTTTTGGATTCTACGCACCAAAATTAATAAGACAAAGTGTTTTCCCGAGAAATTTTGGTGCAGTCGATTTTTGGTAAAAAAGGAAGGTTATACACTGCCTTTTTTTGAGCCCCGAAAAAAAATTTGTCTCAGATCGACCGGGAAAAAAATTTTTCTTATAGAATGTGGCCTGTAGAATCCATTATTTCAAACAGTTCCAAGATTGGGCTACTAGTTCAAAAGTTACAGCCCTTTGAATTTTCTTTCGAAATTGGTTTCTAGTCCATAACTTTTGATTGAGAAGTTCGATCGAAAAAGTACGAATTGTTTTGGATTCTACGCACCAAAATTAATAAGAAAAAGTGTTTTCCCGAGAAATTTTGGTGTAGTCGATTTTTGGTAAAAAAGGAAGGTTATACACTGCCTTTTTTTGAGGCCTCAAAAAAATTGTCTCAGATCGACCCGGAAAAAAAATTTTCTTATAGAATGTGGCCTGTAGAATCCATAATTTCAAACAGTTCCAAGATTGGGCTACTAGTTCAAAAGTTACAGCCCTTTGAATTTTCTTTCGAAATTGGTTTCTAGTCTATAACTTTTGATTGAGAAGTCTGATCGAAAAAGTACGAATTGTTTTGGATTCTACGCACCAAAATTAATAAGAAAAAGTGTTTTCCCGAGAAATTTTGGTGCAGTCGATTTTTGGTAAAAAAGGAAGGTTATACACTGCCTTTTTTTGAGGCCCTCACAAAAAATTGTCTCAGATCGACCCGGAAAAAATTTTTTCTTATAGAATGTCGCCTGTAGAATCCATAATTTCAAACAGTTCCAAGATTGGGCTACTAGTTCCAAAGTTACAGCCCTTTGAATTTTTTTTTCGAAATTGGTTTCTAGTCTATAACTTTTGATTGAGAAGTCTGATCGAAAAAGTACGAATTGTTTTGGATTCTACGCACCAAAATAAATAAGAAAAAGTGTTTTCCCGAGAAATTTTGGTGCAGTCGATTTTTGGTAAAAAAGGAAGGTTATACACTGCCTTTTTTTGAGGCCCTCAAAAAAATTGTCTCAGATCGACCCGGAAAAAAATTTTTCTTATAGAATGTGGCCTGTAGAATCCATAATTTCAAACAGTTCCAAGAATGGGCTACTAGTTCAAAAGTTACAGCCCTTTGAATTTTCTTTCGAAATTGGTTTCTAGTCTATAACTTTTGATTGAGAAGTCTGATCGAAAAAGTACGAATTGTTTTGGATTCTACGCACCAAAATTAATAAGAAAAAGTGTTTTCTCGAGAAATTTTGGTGCAGTCGATTTTTGGTAAAAAAGGAAGGTTATAACCCTGCCTTTTTTTGAGGCCCTCAAAAAAAATTGTTTCAGATCTACCCGGAAAAAATTTTGTCTTATAGAATGTGGCCTGTAGAATTCATAATTTCAAACAGTTCCAAGATTGGGCTACTAGTTCCAAAGTTACAGCCTTCAGGACTCTCGTGGTGGATTCGGAGGGGGGGGGGGGAAAGAAGAGCTTGAAGCACCTGGGTTCTAATATTAAAAATAAAAAGGCGCATTTTAAAATGTGAAAGAGAAAACGATGAAGGGTAACTCATGAATTAGATTAGAAGAATTGATAAACTAAAAATAACAGAGAAGATTGAGACCGGATGGATATAACAGAGAAAGGCGAAGGCCTGGGGGTGGAGGGTGGGATTCTTTTATCTTCATTTTTATGCTTAATTTTTTCCAGGTAAGATGAGTTCAGAATCTGAAGAACTACAACTACCGACTACCTCGACGCCGACGAGCAGCGTCGTCTTCGAAGCATCGACCCAGACGCCAACAAGCGAGAACTGTGATTCGCCCCTCGTGTCGCCGAAGGGCAATTACTCCCTAACGACGTCGGATCACAGTAACAATACACTGATAAACGTTTACAAAATGAGGCAGCACGGCCAGGTTTGTACGGGCTGACAGATCGAAATGACATCGACCTTCGTTCACATTAACGAAATTAGTGTCAATCTTAAGTGGTAGCGTATCGTAGGGTGTAGGTGGTAGAGGTTAGCTCATCGACTAATTTTGCACGAGATTTGCATGTCATCGCGCCCGATTATTTTAATATTGATTTATTTTTATAGCTCTGTGACATTACGTTACATGTAGGATTAGAAATAATTAGAGCCCATAAAGTGATCTTAGCGTCAATTAGCCCATATTTTTTCGCAATGTTTAACGGTAACGTACCGGACGAGTCCGATACCTTTGAGGCTAATCGTGTGAGTCGCAGGTGACATGAGAGAGCAGGCGAGCAATGAGATTATTTTGCATGACATGGACCCGATAGCGGTCGAACTGCTCATCGAGTACGGCTACACTGGCCAGATCGTGATCACCCCCGAGAATGTCCAGGTCCTGCTGCCCGCGAGTAGCGTGCTGCAGATGTCCAGCGTGCGGGAGGCGTGCTGCAGGTTTCTGATGAAGCAGCTGCACCCGACGAACTGTTTGGGAATACGCAGCTTTGCAGGTGAGCCTGGACGTATTCCGCTGAGAGTGGCTCATGCGATACTTTTCAGACACGCACTCTTGCAAGGAACTGCACAGGCGTTCGCACTGTTTCGCCTTGCAAAACTTTCAGCAGGTCGTCGGCACGGAGGAGTTCTTGCTGTTGCCGTTCCAAGAGGTACGTTTAGGTTTAATTGTAAATCCATAATGGGAAATGGGCACTTCCCTGGGGATTAACGCGGCTGGGGGTCTAGAAAAAATATTCCCTAGCCAAGGAAGACTCGTCCGCTGTTCTCCCACAGAATCATTTTACCTCCCAGAGTCTTCTTTTTGGGAACGATCCATCAAATCTTTGCCTCCTGGGGAGTATTTCATGCTCCAGCGAATAGTGCAGCTAATTCGATTCTCTTTTTTCGAAAGTCGTCGAATGAGTCTTAACACTAAACACTGTCTGGGGGTTGTAATGTTCCTAGGGGTCTATCAAGCCGACACTGAAAACGTTGACTTACCCTGTACTTACCGTTGGCAACTCTGGGAAAAAACTACAAGCAGAGCCACCTAGGCAGTCGGCTCGATATGGATGGCACGAATGAACTCCTACGTTGTGTACTCGGTTTCTTGTATGTGTTGGGACGTGAGACATAATCGGGAAGGGAATTAAATAAAAGACAGAACTTTTGTGCTTAAGAAATGATAAGAACAAGTAAATATATTACACACCAGCCAGGGAAACCTTCTACGGTACGAAAACCCCGGCATAGGCCACACAAATACATGAAATAAATCACCTACAGCAATAAAATTTAAGAGAAAATACACATAAATAAAACATCTCAAATTGTATGATAAAAATTAGATAATGAAATCAAATGCAATTAAACAAGTTCATAAAAACAAACTACACAAGACCATAAATGCAGTGAAAAACATGATAAATCAATTCAGTACAAAACACATCAAAATACCTGTACGATCAATTGAGCTAACAGAATTCGTAAAATAATAAATTGCATGTACATAGGAAACATCAAAATGGTGTGGCTCTACTCTAGCCTTCATTAACATAATTTAATTAAAACGAAAAGTACATGTGAGAATGCCAATGGCCAATAGCAAGTATTCATGTGAAAATCGATTATCGCTCAAGCAGAACATATTTTAAATAGTGGAAATGTTAATGAGAGGGTCCCTACTCGCATTGCTAAGATGCTAAGGACAGCAATCCGCACGAGAGGAGTAGGCAACAGGTACAGCGAAAGATCAAACTGTATTAGGGTACTTCCCTCACGGAATAGTTACGAATCAATCGGACAGAGCAACATATAACTGATAATCAACTTCACGTGAATACCGAAATAAATACTTAATTAAACAAAACTATGGCACAATCACCTGTACAGTATCAAAACAAAGGCATGGAGTACGCCATGATTCAGATGTCGTAGTTTAGGCAAAATCAGCAAAATGTAAAAAATATCAAATTGTGGCAAGAAATTCAATTATTAATAGCTAGAACAAGAAAGAATAAAATGGTTACTACCTGTAAATACACCTTCAAAACACCGCCACCAAAATAATCAAGAATAAAAAAACCGGGAAAGTGTGATGCCTTCCGTCGACCTCGTCGCCATCTTCCTTCCTTCCCTTTACTTCGTTACAAAAATCCCCTAGTATTCGGCATCTGCGCAAAACGGTCGATTGGTTATATACAGAGCATATCATATTTTTGTTTCAGATGTAAAGGTGTGTTGCCTAACCATAACGGCGTTATAGCTCAGTGGTATAGAGCGTGGGGGTATAAATCCGGAGGTCGGGTGTTCGAACCTGGTTTGAGGTGAATTTTTCATCTGTGGGCAGAGAATGGGAATTTCCTTAGATCAGTTTCGAGGGGCATTCTGCCCGTTACCCGAAATTAGGTTTTTCTGCAGTTTTCCTAAAATTCCGTAAGGTAAAATACCGGAATAGTCTAGAACAACTTCAGACCTTCTGCAGGGGGCAACCTCTAAAAAGCATTAATGCGGGTTCTCTGTAATTGGGCGTAAGCCGTTGAAGGGCGCTAGAACAAGAGGGGACAAATAAATAAATAAATAGGGTGGATTATCCAGGGTTATGGAATATTCTTCTCCAAGTGATATACTACCGAAGAACAAAAGAACTGGGAGTAAACTGCAAACCCAGCTAAAGATGACTAGAATCATTTTTCTTAACCACCATAGCATCTCGATGTTAATTTTAAAGGAAGGTAATCGGATCGATTGTGTTTTCGCATACACCTCCCCTCACCCACGCCCCGGTTTTTTCCCAAAATCGTGCTTGCCCTTTAAGGCTTCTTGGTTTTGAGAAAAGAAAAAGTTGAATTTATTTTCCGGAAGAATTTGTATACTGCGCGGTGGGGGAGGGTGGTAGGTCCCCAGCCAAATACCTGGGACTATGTCACCCCCATCAGCGATTTCCACCCGCCAAAAGCAACACAGATCACTCTTGCTGACTACTCTAGAATTTCTCATGATAGTATTTACAGAAAAGGTGAATCGGATATATGTACTTGGGGGTATTGGAATCTCCCATAGACCTCCAACTTTTTGGGAAAGAACATTTCAGCATTTGAAGGCTTCTCTTCCTGAAGAAATATTACATTACTGCGGTTATGGAATGCACCCCCCCCCCTCCGAGTTAGTTCCTAGTAACAGAAACTGGGAGTAATTCTACCCCCAGGGGTACACACAAAACAGACTAAGTTGGGGGTATTTCCATCCTCCAGAGCATGTGGCGTAGCAACGCTCTTTCGCTGCCTGTGGCCGACCGAAAAATTATGCCACCCCTAAATATAGTCGCACAAATTCCTACCCAGAGATAGTTCCAGCGGCAAAAATAATTAGGCGTATGCCCCCCCCCCCGAGATTTTTCCCCAGCAAGGAAATGACCAGACCATCTAGCAATCTCATGATAGTATTTTCAAGAAAGTGATCGGATATATGTATCCTGAAGGGTATTCTATACTCAGCCTCCCCTCTACCCGTGCGACATTTTTGACACTGGGGGGGGGGGTATGGGATTCTGCTGCAGAGTTGCGACCAGCAAGGGGAACTAGATTCCACACCTGAGAGATATCCCTGTACTATCTACACAACTGCCTAGAATGATTTTTTTTCTACTCCCTTGCATTCGGAAACGAGTAAATGATCTATGTATACTGGGGAAGGCAATTCCATCCTCCCCAGACCCCCACGGAGGCGATATTATCGCCACAAATCGTGCTGCTTTTAAGACCTTGTTTTTGGGAAAGAAACAGTTGAATATTACTTTCCTGAGGAATAATTGTACACTCAACTGGGAGGTCTGGGAGGTATGGAATGTCCCCCTGAATATACTACCCAGCAGAAGGAAGTAGGGTATTCGATCTCCGAAAAAATATTACCATATAAAAATGATCACTACCTTAGCATTTTAATTGTGGTTTTAAGAAAAAGGTAATATGGATCGTTGGTATCCTGGGGGAATTACCCCCAAGATCACCGGGTAGGCACTTTCCCTCAAAAATGTTCTCATTTTAAGACTGTTGGGGAAAAAAACAGTTGAAACTCTTTTTCATGAGAACATTGTATACTCTACGGGTAGGTCTGGGGTGTTGGGAATACGTCCTCAGATATCAAGACTATCAGAGACACTACCCTGCAAAAGAACTGAGGGCCTTCCACCCCGAGAGATATTTCCAATATAAGAAAGAGTGGAACACCTTTCCTGAGACTATCCTATCATTCTGCATGATGGTTTCGGAAAAAGGTAATTTGGACATATGTACCTACATCAGACACCCCCCCCCCCACCCCGTCACGACATTTCTCTCCAAACTCATGCTCCTCAACAGTGGTATAGTATAACCCATTCGAAATCAATGCCACTGGAGGGTCAAACGTACACGTGGGTTTGAAACTGTGCTAAAATCAATGTCACTGGAAGGTCATACACACGTGGGTTTGAATCTCTGCTAAATCCTGGTCACTGAAGATCAAACGTGTACGTGGGTTTGAAACTGTGCTAAAATCAATGTCACTCAAAGGTCAAACGTAGAGGGGGGTTTTGGCCTGAATTAAACTGGTTATGCGCTAACGTCAAGGTCAAACGGTTCTCAGTAGTTGTTATCGTTAGCTTCAAGGTCACTGAAGGTCAAACATGACTCAAGGTCAAATAGGGGTTCTTGTCGAAACTAAAGTGGTTCTGGGCCGTGATAGCTGTCTTCAAGGTCATTCTGTACTAGATATTTAGCATCCATGAATTATGGCTAGATGGCTAGCGAAACTTGTGCTGCTTTTAAGACCTTGTTTTTGGGCAAGAACAGTTGAATATTATTTTCCTGAGCAATATTGTATACTCAACCGGGGGCCCGGGGGGGAATACCCCCCAGAGATACTTCTCAGAAAAAGAACTGGGACATTCCACACCCCAGATATATTTTCCACCTATGAATTACTAGATCACTCTTCCTTTCTACCTTAGCATTCTCATGATGGTTTTCGGAAAAAGGTAATTCGGATCTATGTATCCTGGGGGGGATACTCCATACCCCCAGGCCCCGCGGTACGAAATTTTCTGACAAAATCGTGCTGCTTTTAAGATTCTTGTGTTTGAGAAAGAACAGTTTTTCTAAGGAATATTTTACACTTAACCGGGAGGCCCAGGGGGTCAACCTCCAATGATATTCTCCACTCCATATAAGAAAGTCTAGGTCATTCTTCCTTACTAGTTCCTACCCTACCACTCTCATGATAGATTTCGGGGGAAGGTAACTGGATCATAGTATCTTGTGGAGACACCCCCCCTCCTCCCGAGCCACATTTTTCGCGAAAATCATTTGGAATTCAACACTATTGCCCTTTGCTGGGGAATATTGCATATTCCACCGGGGGTCTGGGCGTACGGAATGCTCTCCAGAAGTATTTCCTATCGAAAGAACTCTTTGTTTACTACCCCAGCGACCTCCTGGTGGTTTTCGTGGAATAGTAATCAAATGTCAGTGCCCATACCTCCAGGCCTGCAGGTATCATTCTTCTGCAAGATCATTCTGATCGCAAAACTCCTATCTCTTGGAGAGAACAGTCGAATCTTCTGGCCCTGAGGAGTATTCCATATCGGATTGTGGGGCTAAGTTCTCCCAAGGATTTTTTTTCCAACTAGGGAAGACTGATGGTTAGTAATAAGGGTTTCATTAGCGATTCTGAAAATGATTGCACACCAAGAATGGAATTGAATGTAAACGTAATCGCTAACTGTCTCTCTCAGATTGAAGAACTAATATCAAACAGTCAATTAAACATATGCGCCGAAGAAGACGTATTTAGTGCGGTCTTAAATTGGATCAAGCACGATCTGACAGAACGCAAACAATACATTTCACAGGTAACACTTGTACGGCCTCATTTCCTCGTCTAATCTACGCAGCTAATTTTACAGCTCATGGAACACGTAAGGCTTCCGCTGGTGAATCGAGAGTTCCTGATGACGCGCGTCGACGGCGAAACGCTGGTGCGCGAGGACAATCAGTGCAGGGAGCTGCTGCTGGAGGCGATGAGGTACCATTTGGCTCCGGAGCGACGGTGCGCTCTGTCGACGCCGCGCACCTTGGAGCGCAAACCTAAAGGAGCGGAGCCGTACCTGTTTGCGATAGGTGAGCGTGTGCCTACAATAAGTTTCTAGGTAAATCTCGACAATGAAAAAAGGCGCTTACCTCCTGCTGAAGGTAAAGTACTAAGAGCACCATGGCACCGATCGACGATAAAGCGCGCCGCAAGTTACACAACAGCAGCAGAACATCGCGACTGAGCTAGTCTTGTTGCTTCCAGGAGGTGGATCGCTGTTTGCCATTCATTCCGAGTGCGAGGTGTACAACCCCAAATCCGACACGTGGTCGGCGATCGCGCCGATGCAGTGGAGACGCTCCAGGTGCGGCGTCACCGGTCTAAGACGCCTGCTGTACGTCGTCGGGGGATACGACGGCGCGTCGGATCTCGCGACAGCCGAATGCTTCAACCCTCTCATCAACAACTGGAGCCCGATAACGCCGATGGGTACGAAACGGTCGTGCTTAGGTAGGTCATTTGGGTTTGTGAATTTCTCTGAGGTGGAACTGCAGGAATTTGCGCGTTCAACGGTTTGATCTACGTTTGCGGCGGATACGACGGCGCCTCGTGTCTGAGCAGTATGGAGCGGTTCGATCCGCTGACGGGCGTCTGGTGCAGCTGCCCGGCTATGAACACCAGGAGGCGTTACTGTCGCATCGCTGTGGTGGAGAACTGTATCTACGCCCTGGGCGGTTTCGACTCGACGAACTATCAGGCTTCGGTCGAAAGGTGATGGCGATTCTGCTTTAGTCGGCTAGAAGGTGGCTGTTTCAGGTACGATCCGCGTCAGGGAAGCTGGCACAGTATTCCCTCCATGTCCTCCAGGCGGAGCAGTTGTGGTGTAGCTGCGGTTGAGGAGTTCCTGTACTGTATTGGAGGCAACGATGGTACCGTGTGCATGGCGAGTGGGGAAAGGTTCAACGTGCGGAGAAATGCGTGGGAGCCGATTACGGCGATGCACAATCGAAGGTAAGCGTGTAGCGGTGGTGGCATTTGATGTGATTGCAAACATGCAGGTCGACGCACGAGGTGGTTGCGATTAATGGTTTCGTGTACGCGTTGGGCGGAAACGACGGATCTTCCAGTTTAAATTCCGTTGAGATCTACGATCCCAAGCTGAACAAATGGACGCTCTTGTCGTCCATGGTCACCAGGCGAAGCTCCGTTGGCGCCGCTGTGCTGGAATGCATCAACATCGAACATGTACTCCGCTCCACGCGAAGTTGATTTGATCTTTAAAGAGCATTGGTTCATGTAAATGTCGCTTTATCAATGTGCTTTATTAAACATCGCGGTTCTGTGATACTATAAGATTGTTACGAAAAGAGTGGGTCCAAAATGGACGTTTGGCTATTCTCGTTGAATTTTGCGATTGTTTCTTAACGATTGATATGCATCGGTGTGCCTGCACAAGTCACGTGTTTTGTGCCAAACAATAAGAATGCATGTTGTACCTATTATAAATGTTGTAGTTGTTATTGTAAGTTTAAAACTCTACGAACTAACTTAATTTATTGCACTGCCATTTTTAAATATTTATTAGAATTTATTACCTATGTCACTTAGTGAGCAATTTACAAATATTATTAATAAATAAAAAACTAAGTTCCAATTGCGTATTGAAGCATGTTTCCAAAATCTACAATTTACCAAAATAGAACTTGACATATGCTTGGCCAGCAGAAAGCAGCTGGAATTCACTTACAAGATGATTTATGGTTAGGCTCCCGTGTGGTTAGGTACCCATCGGGCGCGTCCCCGGGTGGCGGATAGGGGAAAGCCCATACAGACACCTGAATGATCGTACGTGACTCGTGCTTCGGTGTGGGTAGTGACGATTATAAGTGGCTCGTCGGGGCTAAAACCCAGACGAAGGTCGTCGCCGCGGACCAACCTCCCAAGTCAAGGTGTTAGCGACCGTGCCGAGGACCGCGTGGCACTGGGGTGCAGTGTCGATAACGGTGCCCCTCGGATACCGGGCGACCTCCGAGTGGTGGCTCCTTTCCTTTGGGAAGGGGCTGGCAGCCAAGCCCTGGGCAAGCGGCTCTGCCCAGGTGAGACCGCATTTCCGCACTACTCGTGGGAATTGTATGGAATCTTCAACAAAACCTTTCTGGGCTCCTCGTCAGAGGGGACCAACAAGCCGGGCCCTCAAAAGGGGTCCGGTAACGGGGCAGGCTCCTCGAAAGAGGGGACGGCTCCAACACAGGGTCTTACCTAAGGACCTGGTGGTGGGTCAGCTCCTATTCGCAAGAAGAATAGGACTGGCGCACATAAGGCGATGGCCAGGAAGCGCCGGCTCGAGGGTAAAACCTCCGGTCAAGCGGGCCCTGCGCCAAAGCCTAAGGCTGCGTCTGGGTCGTTGGCTCAGGGGGGCAACCCGATGTCAGGGACTAAGCGTCTCAGATCAGAGGGAAGCACTCCAGGGTCTGGCTCAAGGCAGCCTGAGAAGAAGCCTAGAGGTTCTGATGCACCCAAGGGTGCACCACGAACTTATGGGCAAGTCGCTGCGGCAGGGCTTAAAGTGGCCGTCGTTCCGGTTTCATACCCGGAGGTGGACATCTCTGAGGCTCAGTCGAGGTGCATTATGGCTGCATTGAATGCAGTCGTAGACCGGATGGAGGGAGGGCCCTTTCCTCGGCTGGCAAGGTTCCGCTGGAATCCGCAGGGTGCCATCGTGGCCGAATGCGAGGACCAGTGGACCTTGGACTGGTTGGAGAGGACCGTCCCTCTTATCCGGCCCTGGGATGGCGCGTCGCTGAAAGTTCAGAGGCACGTCCCGAGGGTAACCAAGGTGATGACTGTGTTGTACGGGCTCCCGGATGACACGGACACCATTTTGAAGCGCCTCCAGAGGCAAAATCCTGGTTTCAGGACGAGTCTATGGAGGACGTTCTTTCGCAGGGAGGAGCATGGTAGGATTCTCCTCGCATTTGGTGTCGATGAGACGTCCTATCGGGCCCTTTTGCATAAGTTTGCCGACAAGTAACAGGTGTAGTATTAGGAAAAGAAACACCTCCTCGCACTCATATGATCCTGATACAGAATTGGCAAATTTAAATCGAATGAAAGCTTTGAAATAATTCTGACAGAGATAGAAAAAGACCTCTTCGTACATTATGTTCTCCTGGTAGCACGACACCTTTTGCATAAGTTTGCGACAAGTAACAGGTGTAGTATTAGGAAAAGAAACACCTCCTCGCACTCATATGATCCTGATACAGAATTGGCAAATTTTTAAATCGAATGAAAGCTTTGAAATAATTCTGACAGAGCTAGAAAAAGACCTCTTCGTATATTATGTTCTCCTAGTAGCACGACACCTTTTGCATAAGTTTGCCGACAAGTAACAGGTGTAGTATTAGGAAAAGAAACACCTCCTCGCACTCATATGATCCTGATACAGAATTGGCAAATTTAAATCGAATGAAAGCTTTGAAATAATTCTGACAGAGATAGAAAAAGACCTCTTCGTACATTATGTTCTCCTGGTAGCACGACACCTTTTGCATAAGTTTGTCGACAAGTAACAGGTGTAGTATTAGGAAAAGAAACACCTCCTCGCACTCATATGATCCTGATACAGAATTAGCAAATTTTTAAATAGAATGAAAGCTTTGAAATAATTCTGACAGAGATAGAAAAAGACCTCTTCGTACATTATGTTCTCCTGGTAGCACGACTCCTTTTGCGTAAGTTTGCCGACAAGTAACAGGTGTAGTATTAGGAAAAGAAACACCTACTCGCACTCATATGATCCTGATACAGAATTCGCAAATTTTTAAATCCAATGAAAGCTTCGAAATAATTCTGACAGAGATAGAAAAAGACCTCTTCGTACATTATGTTCTCCTAGTAGCACGACAACTTTTGCATAAGTTTGTCGACAAGTAACAGGTGTAGTATTAGGAAAAGAAACACCTCCTCGCACTCATATGATCCTGATACACAATTGGCAAATTTTTAAATCAGATGAAAGCTTTGAAATAATTCTGACAGAGCTAGAAA